TTTATGAAGGTATCAAACTTTGATTAATTGCCTTAGAAAATCTTATCTCAATGGCTAATACTATATTATATTTTGAAAAAATAAAGATAAAAATATAATTTTCTGTTTTCAATTATTATTCAATGTAGTAAATCAAATTATGAAACAGTTATCATCGCGTTTCAGGATCAGTTATAATCACGATTCAGGATTTCGAAAGCCATTAAATTTTCTGTTTTCAATTATTATTTCACGTAGTAAATCAAATTATGAAACAATTATAATCACGATTCAAGATCAGTTATAATCACGATTGAGGATTTTGAAATCCATTAAATTTTTTGTTTTCAATTATTATTCAACGTAGTAAATCAAATTATGAAATAATTATTATCACGATTCAGGATCAGTTATAATCACAATTTTTTTTGTTTTCAATTATTATTCCATGTAGTAAGTCAATTTATGAAACAGTTATAATCACGATTCATGATCAGTTATAATCACGATTCAGGATTTCAAAAGCCATTAAATTTTATGTTTTCAATTATTATTCAACGTAGTAAATCAAATTATGAAACGTATCAAATTATGAAACAGTTATAATCACGATTCAGGATCAGTTATAATCTCGATTCAGGATTTTGAAAGCCATTAAATTTTCTAATTTTCTTAGATTTATTTGGAACCAATGAAGTATGTTGAGATTATTTATAGACTTCTTTCTCTTGTTTTTTAATAATTTATTTAATGCCTCTGTTAGGCATCATAACAGCCTCAAGACTACTTTTTTGTATAGTTTTTGAATAATTTTTTTTAAAACAACATTTTTTAAGAAACATTTAATCTATAAATTAAACCCTTATTTATAAATGTATCAAACTTTGATTAATTATCTCTATGGCTAATATTATATTTTATTTTGAAAGAAATAAAAATAAAAATAAAAATAAAAATATAATTTTCTTTTTTTAATTATTTATTCCACGTAGTAGCAGTCAGTTATAAATGTGTTAGGGAGTTTCTTCTTCGTTTTATTGATCGCAGACTTGTTAATGTGTGGATTCATGGATGTTTACTTTATAATTCGTTTAGTATCATGTGTTAGGGAGTTTCTTCTTCGTTTTATTGATCGCAGACTTGTTAATGTGTGGATTCATGGATGTTTACTTTATAATTCGTTTAGTATCATGTGTTAGGGAGTTTCTTCTTCGTTTTATTGATCGCAGACTTGTTAATGTGTGGATTCATGGATGTTTACTTTATAATTCGTTTAGTATCATGTGTTAGGGAGTTTCTTCTTCGTTTTATTGATCGCAGACTTGTTAATGTGTGGATTCATGGATGTTTACTTTATAATTCGTTTAGTATCATGTGTTAGGGAGTTTCTTCTTCGTTTTATTGATCGCAGACTTGTTAATGTGTGGATTCATGGATGTTTACTTTATAATTCGTTTAGTATCATGTGTTAGGGAGTTTCTTCTTCGTTTTATTGATCGCAGACTTGTTAATGTGTGGATTCATGGATGTTTACTTTATAATTCGTTTAGTAT